TCATATAATTTTATAACAATTCTACTACACTATTTAACAATATTTTTTTTATTATATAATAAAATAATAATTAAATATTATATGGTGAACAACAATAAGTAAAACTGTTACTTTCTCTTATATCAAGGGATAAATTTATATGCTAAAATTAAATTTTTATTAGTATAAATGTTTTAGTGAGATAATATATTAATTATTTTACAAGCTAGCCCTAACATGCTCATATTTAATGTTTTAAAAGATGTAGAAAAAAAAAAACTTATAATAACTCTATTTTTTTTAGACTTAAACGTCGATTAAAGAGGTAAAAATTCCTAATTTTTTAAACTTAAACGTTGATTAACACCATAGATTGAGAGTTTATATTTAGTAAAATTCCTAATTTTAATAAAAAAAAATAATTTTTGCTATATTTTAGAATATCTTTAAATTCATTATAGAAAAAGAAAGAAAAAAAACTACAATGAAAAAAGCAAGTCAGCTATATATCGATTTGTTGTACTCCTCAAATCACATTCACAATTTGGCTACAAGGAAAGTAAACTCATTGATTAAAATATTATTTTGTCAGTAGTCTTAATGTACAAGAGACTTTAAGACTCCACTTGAATATTATAAAACTTTTATTGAACATTGAATATTATAAAACTTTTATTGAACATTGTATAATTTTCTTGCGTATTATAAACTTTTATTGAATATTGCATTATTATAATATAATATTCTCCAAATAAATATATATCGTGCTTCATACGGGTCACGTACTATATATATCCCGCACATTTTTCTTTATTCATGTATATAATTATAAGCCTGGATAAATAGTCTTAAAATTGTGCAGTCCGTGCATCGCATGGGCTCTGTACTAGTTAATATAGATAAATGAGGTCTTTTAGGTAGAGACATAATTATTTCAATTTGGATGATAAAACTGCAATTAATTTAAAATCACATAGCATATATAAAAATATCCCCTAATTTTAGGTTGTGTTTATTTGAGCCAAATTTTTTATTTATTGACTCGAGTATATAATTTTTCAACTTATTTTTAAAAGTAGTTGATCCCCTACTTTTCAGCAACGGGCCCCATCACTTACTCTCCTAGATGTAGTTTTAGGATTTTTTTTTTTAATGTTTTATATTTTTATTTATTGCAAGATATTTTTTTATTGTCTTGAAAAATATTCCACCGATCACAAACGCGATTTACTTTGGATATGAGAGCACCCACAATGCTTTAGGTTCGTTCACAAAAATATACATGCCACATAAGAAATAGATTCAGTCAAGAAAAATATGTAGTCCAATGCAAGTGCAAGTGGACCGGGTCCTGTTTATGTGGCAGCAAGAAAAAGACACTCGGTCTAGCCTTAAGTCTATTTTAGACCCAAGTAGAGACCTAGTCTCTTTGCATTGGAGTTAAATTTGGTACTTTTATATATTTTTGTCCATGTCATTTAAGATTTAGGTTTATTTACATGCCACGAAAGCACAATTAGACCCAAAGTATTGTAGATGCTCTGAGGAACCACTTTTCTCTTTGCATACCTAAATTCCTATTCATTTGTTGTCTTCCATTCGCTTCCTCTCATCTCATGTCAACTGGTGTATCATAATTATATTTATTTAATTGCAAGTATGTTATCTATTTTAAAAAAGAAAACGTATCGTCTTTAAAAGTAAATTGTTGTAAGTCATTGTCTGTCAATGATGTGATGTAATTATAAATTTTAAAACACTTGGACAGATATCTTTATCTATTACAAAATAGATTAGGAGCCAGTACATGCTAGAAATTGAGCTATTTGGCGGCCTCTTATTATCAGACTAATTATACAAGGAAAACAAATAATTTGTAAACCAATTAATAAGCGTGGCGAATTTGACGAGAAATTGGTCATCAAAGAAATAATGTTTGACCAATTATGTTTTATTTTGAAAACTAACTTTTCTGTTTTGACAGTCCTAAGTGGAATTAGTTTTTTGCCGTATAATTTCTATATTTTATCAATGATTTAAGGTGCATTTGTAAGCATAAGTTCTATTTCGATATTTTTGATCTATTTATTTAAATTTTAGGAATATCATCTTCAAATATAAATACTTTGGTATTATGGATTCGTAATTATTGATACCAATTTCACCATGAATATTCAAAAGAACGGCACGTGGAAGCAAAAAACCGACCTGAATGTAGAATTAGTAATAAAAATATAGTGCTCAATATATATTTCTATTTTTACATTTCAAAGCACTTATTTATTATGTCGGTAAAAATCGACTATCAACAATAATCACATTCAAAGAACCCCTTTAACTATTCCACACTAGCAGTTTCACCTCAGTATACACAATGCCCAAAACCAAACCCTGCACAGATAGATCTTCAATTTCATGTCATGATCCAAGATTTACAAAGTGCAATTGTATCACCTATTTGTTTATCGACTGTAAAATCATAATGACCTTAAATAGCCGTGTTTATTGTAAAATGTATGGTAATTGATGTTGAGTACAAATACAATGAAAAGCGGAACAAGTCATCGTTTACTTCCTCACAAGAAGAACGACTGTGTGTGCAGCAATACTCCTATTTTCCCCGAGGCTGTCAACCTTCTCGTGCGTTTTTGCCTTTAGATTCACGACAGAAGGGTCAGCCCCAAGTAGTTCGCATAAATTTGCCCTGATAGCCTCCTTATGAGGGCTCAACTTTGGTCTTTGCAGAATCAGAGTGGAATCCAAATTACCTAGTTCATAGCCAGACTCGTGCATTAGGCGAACCTAACATTGTAGAAAAACGTGAAGTGGAACACAAGTTAGATTACTCAACAATAGATCCAAATTAGTGTCGCGGGGTGTAGATATGCAGAAAAAATTAGCGGCTCTCATGTAGAAAAATCGAGACTTTGTTATTTTTTTTTTTTTTCTCTGCCCTGTTTCGTTTGCCTTTTCCTAAGAGATCCAAACCGACTTTCCTAACATCTTTCTCAAACCGATTAAGATAAATTTTCTTAAGCCTTTTCTAAGTATGAGCCACACATCAGATTAAGATAGCAAATCTAGTTCAGCAAGAGCAACACAACCCATCATTTCTTATTCTCTTATCCTTCAAACCGAGACTGTGAGTTTCAAATGACAGAAAATGGAATACACTGTCTCTGAAGATAGAAGCACACCAATTTGGATATGGTCCTGTGAGAAATAATCCCACCAGCTTCTGTAAAAACCACGCATTTACTAATTCAGCTAATGCTTCTAATTATATTACAATCCTTTGAAGATTTGAACACAGCTTTGAATGGATTTTCTAAAGCTATGCATGCTGAGTGACGAATGAATAAATCCAGTGACACTGTGTTCATCATTATAAAGTAAATCGTCCAAAACTACATTCGAGAATCACACAAGCATAAAAAGAATTTGAGGTTAAAAACTCACGGCTTCCTTCATAAAAACGGAAGATGGTGCGCCTTTCCATTTAGGATCATTGTCCGGAAAGATCTGCCCGATATCCGGAAGCCCGAGCGCCCCCAATATTGCATCAACCACACAATGCAGCAGCACATCACCTATGAACAAGAAAATAAAATCAGGATAGTAAAAAGATCAAGTTCAACACTTCAAAACACGGATATTTATTATCCAAGACAAAAAACAAAAAACAAAAAACAAAAAAAAACAAAAACAAAAAAACATTCAGTACTCATTCCCCTTCATTTTTCTGTTACCAATCGCATTTCGTCCATTGTCTTCACAATAAGGTAATCTCACTTGAATAATTCACATAAACAAAAGTATCACATTCCATAACATAACTGTAACTATGCATTTTTTGTTCAAAATGTAGTCGATCCGTCTAAGGGTTAGTCCGGGTCACACAGTAATCTGTGTTCTGTTCATCTCACAAATCACACTGCTAAGTCTCTCAGAATATTTCCATACGCAGTTGCAATTGGACAAGTATTAGTGTTCTCACACAGACAAAATACGCAATAATTACCATCTGAATGAGCCTCGCAGCCTCGATCGTGAGGGATATCAACGCCGCCGATGATGAGAGGGTAGCCCGGCTCGAGCCGGTGAAGGTCAAACCCGTGGCCCACGCGAAAAGGCAGGGCCTTCGCGGGTGTAGCAGCTCTCGATTTCGGCTCGGCTTCAACTGCGCCGGCGGAAGCGGCCGCAAAAACCGGCGCGGTCGAGGAAGAGGGCCTCGCCGCCGGCGTGAATCTCAGAGAGGGAAGCGAGCGGCGCGTGAGGCACGCCCCGGGTAGTTGCAGCTGGGGCTTCTGCTCCGATGGGGATTTTATCTGGAGCGGGCTGGGGTAGCACAGGGAATTAGCCATGGCCATAGAGGTGAGGGGATGTGCGTGGGCGCGTGCGGCTTTGACTGATGGTTTGTAAGGTGCAAAAATGGTGATAAAAGGGGGAGAAACTCGTGCAGCACGGGGTTTTGAGATTATTTATTTAACTTAAAAGTTTTTTATTTTATGAGACAATTAATTTGAGGCCACGTGGCCGTGTTAAAATATTTATTTCGTTTCGTTGACGAAGGAGTTTCCATTGTAACATTACATTGAACCCAAAAAAAAAATTCAAATCATGCTCGTATTAAACCCAAAGAAAAAATCAAATCACGCCGGAAACAAAACCGTACCGAATTGGCTCAATTTCTCCGGATTGCACGGTTTNTTTTGTCCAAACGGCAATCATATTAATAACTAGAAAACTCGTAAAAGTTTCACCATATCAATTTTTTCACCAAAAGCACTCATAGCAGTGAACCACAAACTTATAGAAATCGACGTCATTCATATCACACACATGCAGCTCTAAAATCCTAATAATAAACCCTTTACATCATTTGTAACCTAATAATATACACCCACCTTAAATCTCAAAACACACATCAAAAACCTCGTTTTCGATTCTACACTAAATACACAAACTTCATGCTATTATCATAAGTCACAAGTTAACACATTGAGATTTTGCAAAGCTAAATTAGGTATTATTTTGAGTGTTTGTGGTGTCATTATAAGCACAAGCCCTTGGGACTTTCGATGCTGGCTCAGGATCAGGACTTTCAGGCGAAGCCCTTTTGGTTTTCATCTGCACATAGGAAAATAAATTGGGATTTAATTTAACAGGAAAAAGAATGGGTCTTTTAGGCTAAAAGACCTACTATTTGTCGGGCTCGTGAGAGAGTTATGAGAAAAGGCTAACCTTGTCTGCTCCGTGTTGATAAAAGTGGCGCAAGAGAATGTTTTTGCTCTCAGTAGCAATGACTGAAATGTGAAAGATGGGATTTGAAAAAAGGAAACTCGGATAAAAGTAAAGCATGCAAAAAACAATACTCGTTTAATGCTACGGATAATAAATTAATAACACATACACACCCTTTAGTTTAGCTTCGTTGAAAAGAACCCATCTATCTTCTAGAATTACAAATATCCAATGAGATTTCGGTTTGATCTGCTGAAGTTACTCGCAGTAGAAGAAACTCGTAAGACACAGATAAAATCAAAATGGTATATTTATAGGTGTCTATCGTATTTAGGCTAACCCCAAGAGTCGTATTTGTAAATTATTCAATTCTTATACTTTACAGTATCATCTTCTTTTCCTAGTTGGGATCTAGTTAGTTCATTCCTGAAGCCATCCGTTTAGAATTTCGAGTGACATTTTGAGACTTTGTAAGATTTTCAAATTTTGGAGGAATCCTATAAAATCTTAGGTCTGAAGGTGGGATTTGGAGTGGGTTTTCGTATAATTTTTTTTTTTTAAATCCCAGCAAATCTTAAAAGGTCTTAACAAATCCTAGTATCAAATATATACATATATATATATATATAGAAAAATTTGTACCAAGGGAAGATCTTGGAAAGCAGAAAAAATAGCACAGTTGACAAAGTTATATGCGACATGAAAGCAGAAAACGAGGTAAAGTCGGTTTTCCGAAGACGAAATGAAGAAAAGGTCGGTTTTTTATGTTACCTTGATCAGGTGATGGGATTGTCCGGTCATGAGTTGGACGGTAAGTAATAGGCACCATTTTCTGAATACAAGCAGCAATAATTACTTTCAGAATACGAGTGTAAAAGTTCACAAGTGAAACAGATATATGATAATTTTTCCCATATAAAGAAGGGTGTATGTATGCACATATAGTATAGCGCTTGAAATTTAATAAGTGAAAAGCTGCCATGAAAAAACTTGATGTGTACTGTTCTACATTTGAATGAAACTGATATTTAAGATAACCTCGAACATCAATCACCAAGAACGAGCGAATCAATGTACAACATGTGAATTTTTTTCATCAAGTTATTACAAACTTGTTTAACGAATTGTTTAGGGTGTGTTTGTTTATAAATTTTCAAAAAAAGTTCACAATCAGACTAAATCAAGACAAGAAAACATGTTAAATTCACAGGACAAACCAAGCAAACGGTGGTGGATAAAAAAAATAAATTGTTATATCTGAAACAAAGTCCACCTTGCACCAATGGATACATTACATAAAAGATAAATATAAATCAGTACATTACATAACCATAATTATACATCGTATATAGGTACACTAAATATTGTACAAATTGATATGAATGTACAAGTACATTAATTCAAGACTATGAGGTACATTACACAAATAACATAGTAAATAAATATACGATTAGTATTTAGATACATTACATAACAACTAAATTTATATCAATTTTAAATCAGGATCCAAAATATAATGTACAAGCGATATAAGAGCTTCCTTGGTCGATGCCTATGTTCTCTAAACCACAATGACAAATTATACATGTGCATTGTCACTATGTCACTCTGAGTTATATTATTCAAACAAATATAACAAACTTACAATAGCGAGAACAAAACGATAGCGTAAGTTTACACCATAAAAAAGGAAATCACAGAAAGATCACATTGTGCAAGCCAATGTGATTTTTCATAAAGAAACTTCCTTAATACGTATAAAGATTTAGGTTACAAAATTTTTCAAAGCATATAAAACATATTAGTTGCATTTAGTTTGGGCAAATAAAGTTCATCTCAACAACCAATAATATGAGTAACTCTGCATTATCAGATTATAAGCTGTCGGGTACTCTACACTCGTCTTTAATACGACAAACGAAAAGTCCCATTAACCAACGTGTATTACACGTCACATGTCATTTGTAAAATGATACCAACAGCAAAATAATAACCAACGACTTCAGCCTGTCGGCAGAAAACATAGAATCGTGTTCCGGATACTTTTCTACATGTAACATATAAATAGTTAAGGCTACAAACCAAAGCTGAGATCAACCTTAGTGATACATAGTTCTCCCATTGCATACAAGCTACCAAATCCACAACATTAAGCCAGCATTTTCATCTTAAATATATAAACCAAATTCTAGAAGAATCTAAAGATCTATCTCCTCAAATTTAGGGCTATTTTACACTAGTCACATTGAAATTTAAAAAATACAAATAGAAAAAACAGCAAGACACAAAACAGAATTCTACTTCGCTCGCAAGTGTTCGTCTTTGATTGAAAAAGCAGAGCAAAGCAAATACTCACCCCACGAAAGCAAAATCTTGGAAAGGTTCTTCCAAAATATTACATGCGCACACACAAAACCCAAAAAAAAAGGTGAAATCTTGATGAAGGAAATAGAGTGATTCCAAAACCCACAAAAGGTGAAATCTTGATGTAGAAAATAGAGTGATTATCAAAACCCCACAAAATCTGAGATTTTGATGAAGGAAATAGAGTGATTACCGAAGGATTTGAAGGGTCGCTGGGCCTCAACTGACTGAAGTTGTGAGGATCGAAAGAAGGCCACCCACCAAGCATTGAATCATTAAAAAGTTCAAAAACAGGGATTAAGAAAGGTGTTAGAGAGCAATAAGAAGAAATATTGAGAATGAAAATTCAATAAATTATATAAATTCACAGAGCGGTGGAGTTGCAGGGGCAGATAGGTGGCGATTTGGCCTTGTGGGCAAGGGTGTGGGGACACAAAAGTAGGTCTTTTTAGGAAGGAAGCTTCGGAGTTTATTGAAAAAATCAATAAATTTTGTCACTGTAATTGATTTTTCTTACCAAGTGTAAATTTTGGTAATTTTGTTTTTCTTATATTTATTAATATATAAAGAGACAACCCAAAAAATTTAAAATAGTAACTAAAAAATAATTACAATTCTCGCCTAAAAATTTACTAAACATAGCAACTTTTTTTGAAAATTTTCAAAAATCCCACCCAAATATAATTTGAAAATTTTCAATCCAAAATTTTCAAAAATTTAAAAAAATGATTCTCTGTAGATTTTTTTGATATATTCCATCTTTATCTTAATGATTATCTACTCATTATACATTATCGTAAATTTTCAAATGCTTTGGTTAATTAGAAATAAATGAAACATAAAGGTTCTGTTGTTCAGAAATTCTATGGTGCCCATATGGGCACCATAAGCCATGCCACAATATGATGTGGCAACATGATGTGGCTTTATTTACTAAATTTATATAATCCAACATGGCATAAAATATGTTTCCATAAAAATAAAACAACTATGGTGAAAGAAATAAATAAAAAATCTCGCATAGAAATCTTACGCCCCGCGAAGAAAACTTCTGCTCCACGAAGAAAAAGAAAACCTTTGCCGCGCGAAGAAAACCTCTGTTTTCGCCAACCTCTATCTTGCGAAGAAAACCTCTGCTTTCGCGGCTTCGTTTGAGCTTCACGATCCGCGCCTACTCCACAAACAACCTGCGGCAGTCTCCACCAACAGGGAAAGATATTGCCATAGCTTCCTTCTTTCTAAAAGGGCTGATTATTTGATCAAAGATGTCCACATATCAGCATACATTCAATTCAATAAAACTTATAAGCCTGTTTTATATCTTGTGATCATCATCAATTGATATGCCGATTCATTCAAGAATTACTGTATGCTTTATAAAAATTGATAAGCTTGTTTGTGGTTGCTCTGTAAGATTTTGCTAAAAGTCTTAAACATGCAGGGGCTAATCTGTGATGGTTAGCTTGGGGACAGTACGATGTTTTCCTTTTCATTTGTGTTATCTCCCAGACTCGAACATATTAAAGTAAGAAAAGACAACAAAAGTAGCAAAAGTTAGCATCTATTACTGTGAGTCAATTCTAGTGGTGCCGACTAGCTGTGTTTATGTGCTAATGCTGTAGAATGTGTTTATCCTACCCCCTGAATTGGATTACCATACTGCCCAATGGAGTTACTTAATGAAGTTTCATAATTTTGGCTTTCAGCACTACCCAGGCCTCTTGAAATAAGGGTCTCTTTATGTCATCTTCCTGTATCAGATATGTTACAATGTAAAAACATGAAAACGGAAATTAAAAAGTGAAAGGAAAACCAGCACATAGGTGTTAACCAACTTTTTTAGCTCGACATAGTTTACTAATAATGTGTATTGGTGGGACTTGATTTTTTGGCTAACTAGTGTATTAATAACTTTTTGATTTTTTGATAAAAGATCTTTAAGAATAAAAATGAATTTACTTTGATTTAATCATAGTTCTATATTATTTTTTTTTTTTCACACAGCTTACCTAATGTCGATGCAAAAGTTTGTGGCGCACTCCATATCTGGAGATGAAAACGATGAGGATTCTGGTTGGTCATTTGATGAACAACTTAACACAAGTTTAGCTGGTAAGTCACAATTATATATTGATCAATTTAATAACTCGGAACAATTTATATGACTTGATTTTTCATATTTAATCTCAGATGGTTGTGAAGCCGATAGTGATTATATTCCACAGGTTGCATTTGCATCAATTCCTCATGAAAAACAGAGTTTTCAAACATTGGATGAAGCTAAAGACTTTTATATTGTTTATTCCAAAGAAGCTGGTTTTAGCGTTAGAGAAAGAAATGACAGAAAAGACTTTTCAAGCTGGTTTTAGCTAAAGACTTTAAGCAGTTGGCGGGTGACGAGGCAAGACGAGTGGGTGGTCTTGCTTTTGTTTAAGACTGATATTTACTTCCGCATTTATGAACTTGTTATGATTTATTTGACTATGTTTGAACTAGTGATTTTGGATAAGAGTTGGACGGATTTGAATACTTGGGTTTTATGCTGTTATTTATTGTTATTTTGAATCTTGAAAAATGTGTTGGTTCATTTTGATCTTCTTGTGTGTTGGATAAATTGCTCTTGGTAAATAAGTAGCGCCCTTTGAATTTTAAACTTAATCGAGATTTTGAAAAATTAACTCTGATTTTCATTAAATAAATTTGATAAATCTTTTAAAATTAAGTGGGGCGTTACAGTTTAAAAATTTGAGAAAAATTATTTTAAGTCCCGACTCTATTTTCGTCCTCCGAGTTATTTTCTTTTAGAATTTGGAGAGTTCCAAGTCCACGATAAATCTGATAAAATCCTTTAAGCCTTAATTTTGATTAAGTGTGGGTTTTATGTTAAATTCGAGTAGTGAGATAGATTATTGATGTATTATATCACTTAATTGTAGGTGTTTGAGGAGTCGAGCCCTCGACCTACTTATCTGCTATTTCAGTGTGATATCCTACCTCGATTTCCAGGTGGGTAGAGCATCACACGCGGAGGGAAGCCGCACTCGCACACGAGGAGATTATATTTCTCTCTTTTATCTTTTTATTTATTTTTATTAGTATGTTAGACTAGTATTTTTATCCAGTTTGAGGGGATGTTTGAACCCTAACTTTGATTTGTCTATGGATTGAAGGATTTATTTTTATCGTTGATTAATCGAGACGCCGTATTTATTTTTGTTGATGAGTTGATTCATGTTATCTGTGTATAATGTTTATGAATTATGGTGTTTGATTTAGTCTGGCCAACTACGTTAAATATTCATAGTTTAATTGCTAGATTCGAGACTTTAATCCGTAATTGTTATTGTCTTGTTTCGTTAGTAGTAAACTAGGGGTCGTGCATCTCTAGGGTAGCATGAGCATAAGTTAAATAGACCGAGCTTTTGCGTCTGTTGCTTAGACTAATCTATTTTCCTAGTACTTAATGCTGCTAGTGCACTAAATCTAGAGAGCTTATTCTAGGTTGTCTGCTAGTTAGGTTTAGTCGAAGAGCCTATTTCGATTAAATATTCGGTAAGGGAAAATTCGGTTAACAGAGCTTGTTGTTAGCTAGGGTCGGTAATTCATTAGCAATTTAAAGAAAGTGTCGAAATTGATTAACGGTAGATTTAGATTGGGTGATAACTGAACCGAAAACTGGACTTCTCTTATTTTATTAGATTTTTATTTTATTTTCTTATTTTTATTTTCATTTTTATAAAACCAATTCCCCCCATATTTGCTTTCCTAGTTTAATTCAATTAATATGAGATTGTCACAATTTAATTCCTACTCCTCGTGGGATCGACCCTTACTCGCCGCTACTACTAGTTAGTAGAGGTTAGTCGAGGAAAAATATATAAATTTAAATTTGCCGCGTCGCGACGCGCGGTCAATCAAGGAGTCATATGGAAAATGTTTGTCTGTTATAAAGAAGGGACGAAGAATATGAGATACCAAGACAAAATTAAGCATGTTGTTCAACGAACTGGAGAACGGGAAAGAGGAGATGTCAGATGCAAGTGTTTGGCTAGGATGACTGTAAGCTGGAAAAAAGATGAACAACTTTGGAGAGTTTTGAAATTTAATGAGAAACACAATCATCCTCTTACCAGTCCGAGCAAGGTGCATGCTTTAAGAGTTCATAGGGATGTCTCACCTGCAATAAGGTCCCTTGCTGTCGAGTTTAGAAATGCCAATTTGAGAACATCTGATCTTCGAAGGGTACTAGAAAGTGATGCTGGGGGCCCTGATAAAATAGGTTGTCTAGAAAAAGACTTGTACAACAATGCTTCAAAATTACAAAATGTGGTCACTGGACATGATGCTGAAACGTTAATTGGCCACTTTGAGACGGAGAAGACAACGTGTGAGTCTTTCTATTTTGCTTATGAAACTCATGAGTCTGGTGATACATTTGATCGTTGTTACTGGCGTGATGCGCATGCAAGAAACTCTTATGGTTGTTTTCCAGAGGTGGTGGTATTTGACTCGACATTTGGCACCAACAAATATGGAATGTTTTTTTGCCCCTTTGTTGGAGTGAATAATCATAACCAGACTATAGTTTTTGGCTGTGGTCTTTTGAGTAACCAACGAACCGAATCATTTTCTTGGTTATTTTCTAAGTTTCTCAATTAGATGCCTGAAAAACGTCAACCGGGGATGTTTATAACTGACCAAGATGCGGCTATTGCGGCGGCAGTTCATGAGGTATTTCCAGACACTGTGCATAGACTTTGCTTGTGGCACATACTTTCCAAGTTTTCGGAAAAAATAAATATCGCATGCATGGAGATGACAAAACCAAATTGGTGCATGCTATCATGGACTCGGATGATCCAGAGGAGTTTGAGTCCCGTTGGTCAAAGTTGATGAGTACTACATCTTTGAGTCAAAATAAATGGGTGAATGATATGTACACTATTCGAGCAATGTGGATCCCTGCATATTTGAAAAATATTTTCTCAGCAGGAATGTCATCCTCACAACGTGCTGAAAGCAATCACTCTTTTTTTAAGAAATATTTGAGTCGTGACTGCTCCCTCAATGATGTGTTTACGCGGTTTAGGAATGCAATTTCGAGGCAAAGGCATAAAACGTTATTACTAGACCATGCCGACAAAAATGAGAAACCCTTATTGAATTCTACACAACCAATGGAGCGGCAATTGTCGACAAGGTACACGAGGACAATATTTAAAAAGTTTCAAGAACAATTGAAGGTTTTACCAGAGTACATCAGTAAACTCGTTGAAAAAAATGAGGTAGTTTGTGTCCATGAAGTGTTCCCATTTAGTGGATCGGAGTTGAAGGATAAAACTTATCGGGTGACACAAAATGTTTCCACGAACTTTCTTTCATGTAGTTGCCAGAAATTTAATGATATGGGGATTCCATGCAGGCACATGCTATATATGATGCAGGTAATTCTTTTTGTTAATTTATGGTATGTAATCATTTACAACATAATTATATATACATCTCATTTTATTTAATGTTGTTTTTTATATAGGTTATGCAAATCAAGTTGTTGCCAGAAGAATATATCTTATCTCGTTGGACACAAGAGGTAGGATCACCAATTTCATTTCAAACAGTCGCTTCTCCTATCATCCAAGCACGAGGATATATAGAGCGTAGCCGAGGGTTATCTGAGAAGTGGAAATGGTTGATCGAAAAGGCTGCTTTGACCGAAAAATCTACTATAATCTTACACAAAATGTTTGAAGAAGCGGAATCAAGAATACAAGAGAATGAAGTTGTGACCCCCAATGATACACAAGAGTCATGCTCGGGAAAAGAGCACAAAGGTGAGGGTTTTGTAAGTGATCCAACTACTAATCGTGTAGCTCGTGGCCGCAAACGACTATTAAGTATGCGAGATAAGGCAATTAAAAGTGGAGGCAAGCATTGTCGCAATTGTGGCAAAGTTGGTCATAACGCACGTACATGTCCTGAAATTAAAGGCAAAGACAGGTAACTTAAATGTTCTCATCGTGTGACTGATTGCTCAAGCATCATTCAGTTGTGTAACTTTTTTTTTTTTTTCTAGTATTTATATTACGTTTGCTTATTTTCCAATTTTTCAATTTTTTTTTCTCTTCTCTATTGATTTCGTTCCAGATAATTATTTATTATAATAAATGATGAATGTTGATGCTGAGAAGAAACAACTGAAAATAATTCGTATCGTATAGCATTAATGCAAAATGCTGAAAATTAAAAAATTATGAAATTAGTTTTATAAGGAGAGAAGTGTATCTGAGGAGCTTGATTTATTCAGCTAAACATTCATCGTTTTTAACCTTTAATTATTATTTTTATTCTCTTATCACATTTTATAAATCTTGTAGAATTGCTGATGAAGTTGAACCATATCGTCCGTCACCTTTATCGAATAATATCATAGTCGAGGACAGTCAAGAAATGGCGGGTCGGGATATGGTCGACACTGTGGATGAGGGATATGATTACACGAGTATTTGGCCTTAACGGAGTTTTTTTCCAGATGTAGTTTGATATTTTTTATTTTTTTATTTTTTTTGTTGAAAGTGGCTTTCTTATGTTAGTTTTGACTAATAGTTTTGAAAGTGGCTTTAATGGAGTTTTGGTATTGTTTGGATAAATTTTTTTCCTTAAAAGTTATCACAGAGAAGTACTTGCTGGTATTTTGTTCATTGCTTTATTAGTGTTCTGTTCATTTTGTTCATTATTTTTATTACTGGTATTGTTTGGCATTTTGTGGGGATCTGGCCAGACAGAATATTTTGTTGCTGGATGCATATTTTCTTTGGCTCTATTGGTATTTTGTACCTCAAATAGCATTGTTGATATGTAAAATATATTGAGCAGATGTTTGCAATTCAAATTTGTATACACTTTTATTACTCAGTCACAAGAATGTATCTGTCATTTGATCTTTTGACAGTAAGATATGTAAAATATATTGAGCAGATGTTTGCAATTCAAATTTGTGCACTTTTATTACTCAGTCACTAGAATTTATGTCATTTGATCTTTTGACAGTAAGTTCCTCCAAAAAGTATATGAAGATGTAAACTAATTCCTTACACGAAAGAACAAAAGAAGTAATCTAATGTTTTTGAACTAATTCCATGTTGAGCCATAAAGAAAAAATATGACAAATACTATGCATAAATATTTGTCTAAAATGAACAATGAAGTTTTCAAGCCATCAGAAATCGACAGTGGTCTAAAAAACGATTCCATTTCAAGCCGTGAAACACCCATATCTCAACTTCATCCCATTGCATAAGAAAATGCTGTTGCAATTCATATAACTAATCCTCTACGAGTATAAGAAAGTGTACAAACGAAACACCCACATCTCAACTTCATCCCATTGCACAAAAAAATACCGTTGCAATTCATATAGCTAATCATGTACGAATATAAGAAAGTTTACAAACGAAACACCCACATCTCAACTTCTTTCTTCTGATGTTACTGTTGTAGACCAGGCTATGGAGTTAATGTGCCCTGCTCCAGGATCGAATGGTGTGGACTTTTTGCCCGTGGATACGTCTATCATGAGGTGGCCTCTCCCGTCTGTTGTGTAGGCGGTGGTCGAGTGCCGATTGGATGGCCGCAGGACTCCAAGCCTTGAGCAGCTCCGTCAGTCCGCTGACATGGGGGCACGACATCCATGTCCCTGTTTGTATGTTGAAATCAGCCCTGCGTGTGTCGATGCTCGTGGGGCACGACATGGATGGCCGCTGACTACGCGGCTAGAATGTTCAAACGTGTCACCAACGACACGTCACTGCCGTTGTCCACCCCTTCCACAACCTCCGCTGCCCCATTGACGCCTTCGCATCCCTCGACCAGCTCCGCCTCCTTGACCTCCGTGACAACCACCTCAATGACACCCTCTCCCCCCTCGCCCGCTGCACCTCAAGCTCGTCTACCTCTCCGGCAATGCCTTTTCCATCCAGATCTCGCCGGAAATCTCCGCCTTTCACCGCCTCGACCTATCCACCAACAACCTCCGCGGCCCCATCCCGCCGCCGCTCGCCGATCTCACCCGCCTCATCACCCTCCACCTCCAGACCAACGAATCGAGAAGCTTCACCGGCAACCAAGCTCCAATTGCTCGAACTCCCGCGGAAAACCATCCATTGTCGTCCATCCCGAGCTCCCTCCTCCCGTCCCAGATCGCAGTTGTGGCCACAAATTTGCCGGAAATTCACTGCAGAAAGCTCGGCAGGCGGCCCGATTTTGGCCATACCGGTGGCGTCGGCGACTTAGGTCGTGAGGTCGATGATTGAGGTAGTGAGATTGCAGGTGAATTTGGGGAAACGGCGACTTATGAAATGATTATAGGGAAAAGGGGTTTATTAATTAATTTTGTTATGGAAAATATTTAAAAAAGCCACATATTTTATCCATGTTGGATTAAATAAATTTAGTAAATAAAGCCACATCATGTTGCCACATCATATTGTGGCATGGCTTATGGTGCCCATATGGGCACCATAGAATTTCTGTTGTTCGTGCCTCCTTTATTTTATATGTTGAAGGCACAAGTTCTAAGGAATATCAAGTCTAAGTTACAAAATACCAGTCACCTGTTCGATCTCTTCAAGTGTGCTAATCATGATTGCTCCGCTCTTTATATCCTTAACGACAACATTAACTGACATATTTATGATAACCTAAAAAATAATGAAATAGTAACTAAAAAATAATCAGAATTCTCGCCTAAAAATTTACTATACATACAATTTAAAAAAAAAAAATTCAGAAATCCCGCCCAAGCATAATTTAAAAATTTTCGGTTAAAAATTTAAATTAAAAAATAAATGACTATCTGCTGATTTTTTTTTGGTATATCTCATCTTTATCTTATATGTTTGAATTTAAATTTTTGAACAAATCTATCGTTTATGTATCTTATACAGAGTATAGATTTATTTGTTGAAAATAGAAAATCCAGAATATGGTACTAATCTCTTTCATTCACGTTTTTCATTATCATATATATCTTCATATGTAACAACTAGTACAAAATCTAAAAAAAAAAACCCATATATTTCAAAAAGTATTGACTTATTTTCTATAGAAACAAAAGGTTTTNATTTGTAAGTTTATATTTAGTTTATTATATGTTTACAAACCAATAAAAGAATAACAACTATAAATTTATATATAGTTTATTTTTAGTTTATTATACAAGAATACAGATTTTAAATTTATATGCAATTTATTTTCATTGTTTATAACATAAATACTCTTATACACACAGAAACCAAACATTTATTCACAAACTCACAACAGAATTACAAATAAAAATGAAACAAAATCCATCAATATACATAACTATAAGAAATATTCATAACAAAATATACATGAATCAACTAAAAACAAATGGCTTTGTCGTCTCGCATGAAAATGGATTGCAGGTTCATTCGCGAAATCCACTCATAATTATAGTGATATTATGGTTCTATGGGGCAAAATGACCCATATATTTTTTTATGCTTTTTCGTACCACTTAACTAACTAGGATACTTCAAAATGTATATATAATGGTCCACCACTCTTTGTGCTGATTTTCAGCATTGTCCAGGAGAACTAATATTGGTTAGAGAGGATTTTGCATAGCTACCAGTCGAGAATTTATTCTGGTGATGTTAGCGCTTCTTTCCAGGTTTTATATTATTTACTTTTTCAATATAAATAAAAATGCAACTGCCTTGATTTGACTAGAAATGCCATTGCTTCTCTACATGGAAGATGAACCCGCGAAGTCCCAGTCCATGTTTAGCCAGTATATCAAGAAGGGTGTTAAAGAAGATAACATGGAGGCTTTGTACAAGAAGGTACATACAACCATTCATGCTGACCCCATACGAAGAGAGGAAGACTAAGCTGATCGAGAGGTTGAATGCTCTCAATGCTGCAGCGAGAAATGATGATGAGTGAGGACATCAAATGTTAGACGAGTTACTATGAAATGTCAATATTGTTTTGTTTTACGAGATATTTATTTACCTTTTTTGTGGGTTCAGGATTTTTATAACATATGGCTGTGTTATGTGTATGGAGATTCTGTTGTGGGTTTTTTAGCTAATGAGATGAGATATTGGACACTTGAATAATAATAATAATAAAAAAAAAAAACACCGTTTCGAATTGAAGCCCCTTATATCAGTATCACGAAATTTTTTAAAAATTTCCCGTCTCTATAAATTAATTAATCAATTTATGATATAAAGTTGGCAAAATTAATAAATCCCGTTTTGGTATAAAGTGGGTAATTTCATTTTAGATATTTGATGGCCATTTTTATTTTTATTTTTTTGTAAGAAATGTGTTGTTATTAATAAATGTCTGAACTTATGATATAAAGGGGGCGATTTTATTTTGGTTTGAAATGTCCGAATGGTATGAAATTTATTTGGTATGGATAGAAGTGTATTTCAAAATTTTAAAAACAAAATAAGTGGTAAGAATTTTATTTGGTATGAATATGAAAGTCGAATTTAAGGTTGATTTGTTATAAAACTTAGGTGATATGATTTTCAAATTTTAGTATATTCCCATAATAATTTGTCATAGATATTGATGATAATTCGACAAATTGGTATGTATTCCTCATGAAAAAATTAGAAAGTTTTTGAATAAATACTGGTTAATAAAATTTAAAATTTGTAATTTAATTCTAGAGAATTAATTAATAAATTTGAACGATAAGGTAACCGGCAACAATTCTAGTAAATGTCAAGGTACTAAATGTGTGTGTGCATGTGTATGTGTGTGTGAAATATATAAGGGAATTTACTGTGTATTCTGAATTTGGGTTCTAAATTTAAAAGTCAAATAAATAATTATTCATACTTACGAGTCAATATTAACTTGAACATAAATGGAATAGTCAATTATCTATAATTAAATAAATTACTCAACTACTTATTTTTTTATTTGGATAGCTTATACAAAAGTAAATTCATTTTAATTAATGAAATATTATGATTATACTTATTATTCGCTTATATTTTTAAATATATGATAAAATTTTACCAACATAATTATTTTATGAAATCACATTGTGGTATAATCGGTTTTTATGAATATTAACTTTAAACTGACAGTTATTGTGAAATGAATACAATTTAACCTATTATAAATTACATTCACCGTACGAGTTGTGTACTAATTTTAAATAGACATGTTTTATGTAACATTTTCAATAAATTAATATAAGTAAATTGTATTACATATTTATTTTATATTTTAAATTTATAAATATTATTAATGAATACTTTTAATTTATAAATATTAATTAATATCTCTTACCCGTGCATCGCACGGGATTCGTACTAGTTTAATTGTATATGTGCATTTAATATATTCGGTACTCCTTCATATAGCATCTCTAATGCTATGCTTTTGAAAGCCAATGTTTTTAACACATGTGAATTAATGATTGTAATGTTAATCCACATAGGAATAATGTTAAAAGACTAAAAATTTGAATCAAACTAGTATCTCCAATGCATCAATTTGATAAGGAGTTATTTGTATAAGTTGACCAATTATAATAATTCATTGATACAAGAATAATAGAAAAATAAACAAAATATAAAGTGAATTGATGAGTCATCATGTTTAACATGGTGTTAGATATTAAAAAGTGAGTTCAACGTTGTCAATATTAAATGCCATCCACATCATCATGAAAGAGCTAATGACAAGATGCATTGGAGAATAAATTAGTAACAAACTTTCAAAAGTTGATGATATGGATGAATTTTTACAATGTCAAAAGTCACATTAGAGATGCTTTTAGTTTCATTAGAGCATCTCCAATGCTATAAGTGTGAAAGGCCATTATTTTTAACACATGTCAATTAGTGATTGTAATGTTAATCCACATTAGAATAATGTTAAAAGACTAAAAATTTCAATGAAACTAGTATCTCCAATGCATCGATTTGATAAGAAGTTAATTATATAGGTGGACCAATTAAATAATTCATTGATACAAAAAAAAAAAAAAAATTAAACTAAAACAAATATAAAGTAAATTGATGAGTCATCATGTTTAACATGGTGTTAGATATTAAAATGTGTGCTCAACATTGCCAACATTAAATGACATCCACCTCATCATGAAAGAGTTCATGACAAGATGCACTGGAGAAAAAAATAGAGACACACTTCCAAAAGTTGATGATATGGATGACTTTTTATAATGTCAAAAGTCGCATTGATGATGCTCTTATAAGTTGTAACATTTAAAAATTACGTCACTTTTCAAAATTCACATATGTTATCACATTTTATTGAACTTCGTTTTGTTTATAGGTGCTATTTAACATATAGTTTTAAAAGACATGAATAATATTATTTAAATCTAATGTTGCAAATTATCTCTAATATAAGACATATGTGGGTAAATGTCCTCAAATTTGTAGGGCCAGTGATGGATCTAGGAATTTCATTGGTCTGATTTTAAATGTTAAATAACGAGCTTGTAATTTAAGTCAAAATAATCATTTCATATAAAAATATAGTTACTGCAAATAGAAATATCGAAATGATTACTATCAAGTTTTAAATAGTTATAATCTGTATTAAGTGTCAACCTCAAACTTTTAAAAAAGTAAAAAAAAAAAATGAGATTTCTCGTATTTATAATTTAAGTTCAACGTCTGTAATTTATAGAAAAATAATTTTGTTTGGTTGAAATTTGATGTAGATTGAACTTTTGAAGTACATTGCATAATATTTTTGTTAATTAGAGCTTATCAAATGAACATTTATATTACACAAAAAAAAAAAATCAACATTAAAAAATGTAACAATCGAACTAAATACTCGATTTTATAAATCACTGAATCGATTTACAATTAAGAGATTGAAAGAATAATCATTATAAATAATTTCAAAAATTTATCTAGAAATATAAAGTATAAGGATTGTTAAAATATTTTTCAATAAATAAATAATATCTACATATATATAATTGCTGGCTCATGAGCATTTAATATAACCTTTAAATTATACATATGTGGCAATATAACTTTTTTCCTCCAAAAACCGTTACTTTTTATTTATGTAATCTCTCATTTAATTATTAGATAATCAACACACTAATCAATTCAAAATTACAAAAATCATTTAAAATTTTTGATTTACTTACAGCTGACCATATAATGTGTCGACTATTTAACTTGATTATATGTCATTATTGTGGTTACATTAATTTAAATTAACTTCTTTTGGAAAATAAAAAACGTATTTAAAATTCCTAAATAAATAATAAATAATTCACAAAAAAATACATACCATAATATACATTACATCCAATATGATAAACACAATTTTTTTTAAAAAAATATTCCAGCTCCTTTAATTATAAATTTGACCTGCAAAAAAGTGTAAGTAAAATCATTAATCATTATATGCATACAAATAACTCACACTACTTTATTTATATATGTGCATTTGCACAGGTCAAATACTAGTTATTAATTTAAATTAAAATAGCATAGAAAATAAGTTTTAATTATTAATATATTGTTAATATTTTTTGTATTTCTATACATATTTTATAGTATTTTATTTATATATAAAAATATATATAGACTTTAAAAAAAATCAGAGGGCCCCCCTTGCCCCCATCTAGATCCGTCTATGTTGGTGCCATATTCTAAGCTAACTGCTTCAAATAAATGTGATATCACATTTACTTCATCTTATTGCAAGAGAGCTGCAAACCCAAAATGATTGGTTTTGCTGAAGCTCAGAATAAACTCTATCATCTCTCTTTCAACAAATGTAAACCTGTGTTGTATATCAATTTAACAATTGTAAAACTGTGTTGTCTGTCAATTTTGATCTATCTAATAGTGACCATGCTTTTGTAATTGCTGAAATGCCTCATGTACCTTCATCTCTTGGATTGTGTCATTATAGATTAGGCCATCTATCATTTCATAAACTTTCATGTATTCCTGAATGTTCTACCTTGAAATGTAAGAAGTTTGAAACATTACCATGTGATTCATGTCGTTTTTCAAGATATAGATAAAATTATTTTTTATTTTATATATGTAATATGGATGTCAAATCGAAAATCGTTAAAATATGATTATTTTGGTAGATCATATATATACGAAATCAAATATAAAAAAAAAAATTATAAAGTTCTAAAAATAAAAATAATAAATATTTATAATAATTAATATATGAATTAAATAAAAAAGTAAGAGTAGTATATGGTAACTTAAGAAAAAAGGAAAACTAAAATATTTTATGGTAATTCCCAAGCATAATAGTCAAACAAAACTTTTACATGTATCAATACGAAACACCAATGAATGTCAAATAAGCTTACGAGCACACGAGCCTGCCACTTAACCTCAACGCATTCGAAAATTATATGTAGAGGATGAAGTAGTTGGTATGGTTACAATGTATATATCGATTATCATAATTGATAATTCATGTCAATGATATATGTTTAATAAAGAATAATTATTTTTAACTGTAATTAAATATTAAATTTATATATTTAATAGTGTAAATATTTATAATTGAATATATTGTCAATTATTTTTTAAATAATAATTAAAAATCGATGTATGATTATTTTCCTATCAGACTAATGTCGCATTACAAAATGAAGACTGCCAAAAGTCGGGTTTGCTTCATCTGCCACGGAAGCTCACGTGACGAAGAGTTTAAAGCACGTGGACCAAACCTCTAAGGTCCAACGGGACTACGGTGACGCCACCCGCACCTGAATATCCATCCTCACCTCCTTTTTCTGCTTTTCCCGAAAACTATAAATACCCTTTCCTCCTTTCAGACTTTCCCTTCAATTTCGTGCCCTAGACTCTCTCTCTCACTTTCCTCAGCCGCAACATGTTAATCGAACCTCATTTTTCCATTTTGCCCTTCGAATTGCTTTGGCGGATTCTCCAATCTCGATAGATGTTGTGATTTCAGCTCAAATTCGAGAAATTAATCTGAAACGTTGTGCAAGATTGGGATGGAAATGCAGCTGAAATTTTTGTAGGGCTTTTTTTTTCTTTTTTTTTTTTTTTTTGGTGGCGTGGAGGTGAATGGAAGCGGCTGTGGAGGTTGCTTTGCCTGTATCGGTGGATTCGAAGAGGCTCGTGGGATCGGCCGAGGGTTTTGGAGGCGACGGTGGCTTAGTGGATGAGGTACGGTGGCAGGCAGACGGCGCATGCAGCTCCGGAGGTAAAAATGGTAAGTTTGACATCAGTGTAATCTTGCCGTGTCAAGGTGGTTGTTTTAATTTTGAAAAAAAAAAATTTGTAATCCTAATCTACCTGCAGTACATGTTGGTGATGTTTTTGGAATTGCTTGGTATGTGCTCCTTTTTTTCTTTTTAATTTTTATCAGTGATTTACTTGGAGAAAATAGAAAGGAGAAAATAAATTGCGAAATAGGGGCTGTTGAAGTCAATTGTTGATTTGTCACCCTTTGGGTTAGACAAATGATTCAGAATTCTTTTATCCCTTTTGAACTTTTGCCAATTAAGAAAGTGTTGTGTAATACATTTCATTGGATCGGCAAGATCTGTTGTGAATTGGGTTTCTACTTTCTTGAAAGTGGGTGATGGCCGCTTTGGAAGAGGCATTGTTTGGGTATTTGGAGTGTGCTTGATACGTTATTTAGTTACTGGCCAAATGGCTTTTTTCTCGTATGTTTGTGGCAAGGGAAAGAGACTAAGACAGAGTAATCATTTGGTCCAGTTGATATGTGATATAGGTCATAGACAGTACTTAAGTAACATACTGGTGACGTCCCTGCATAGATTAAGGTTTGAAGTACCTCAGATGAAATGTGAAAGAAAGAGTTGTAAACTAAATTAAAGCTTTGTGTTGGTGGATTTAGTTAAAAACACAATTTTTGAAATGGAAGCTGGATTTTTGGATATTCATTCAGTTTGTGGCAGCTACTTAATGTGTTATATGTAGCCAATAAATTCAGTTATATTGCTTCTAAACTTGTTGTCCTCGATGGTGATTTTGATAAAATCGATTCTTTGATTGTAGAATTGTCACATTTTATTTTTTGAATTCTCAATCTTAAGATCAGCTTGAAAGATGATTTTTGTGTGAGAAAAATGCTTGACACTTTCACTCTTCAGACTATTAGCTACATTTATTTATAATGTCTTTCCTTATTTACTTGTGATTTTTCTAATGTAAGTGTAAAAATTTTGAAATCTCTGATTTTGTGGTGCTGTTATAAATATGCTTTGCGATCTTAGAGGTAATCACCTGCTTAAGGTAGAATACTGTGAAGGTGGTCTTTAAATCCTCTTCTCATTTGTTTGTCTTAGTTTGCTATATAAACACATGTCATTATTAAAATTTGTGGATATGCATTTATTTTGGTTTGATTTTATGTATAATGGAAAGTAAAATGCATCAAAATCATATTTTGTTCGACTTCGTCATAGTGTGACATGTGGTAAAAAATTTAGTGTTGTTTTATTATGTTTCCTATACTACACCAACTAATGCTGACATGAATTTGATTTTTCAGATAATATTCATGCTGTCAACGTCTCAGCACCAGCATTCTGGCGGAATATTGCTGATCGTGAAGTTTGCAAGGATATCTGTCATCCTTCCAGCTCGCACAATGATGAAGTTGTGAAGGATTGTGGTTTTGGGAACTTAAAATCCCAGCCGCTGATACTAGAAGTAGATGCTAAACCTCCACTGCCAAAATCTGGTAAAATAACAAGGAAAAATATTGGGTGCAATAAGAGATCAGGAATGATAACCATGGATGTTTCGAAGCCTAAACCTGGACCGTGTGATGTAAAAAATGGAACATTTCCTGATCTTGCTTCATCATCTGCAAGCTGCAATGTTTCAGGTACACCATATCTGGTATTTTGAATTGGTAGACCACAATAGTTAACTTCTTAAAAGAAGATTGCATTCCTTCCTTTATAATATATTTTCTTTTCCATTTCCTGCATGTACTTGAGAAGCATATGTTGAATTTGAGTATTTTCTCTTGTATTTTTTCCCCTTTGATCATGTTTGCTGCTTTCTATTCTATCATACCATCATGCTAATATTTTGTGGTGTCTTATATGCATCTAGCTTGAAACTTTTAGTTTCTTATTCTATTTCTTCATTTCCAACTCTCCCTGAGGGTTTTCTATCCCTTTGGGCAACCTACAACTCAAACTTAATTTTTGAAAGTAGACAATGTGAATGGAAATGAATGTATAAAGTTAAGCCCCAAGGAATTTCATCTAAACTCCCATAAATAGAACTGATGTTTTTATTTCATTCCCAGCATTAAATCGTATTGGTGGTTAATTCAACAATCAGTACTTTGTTAATCAGATTGGTATTAGGTTAACTATCTTAATTTATTTGATATTGAATATGACTCTGGTTCTTGTTGTTAGATTTGTTCATTTATAATTGAAAAGTGTTGTGAAAATGTACAGAAAATATAATACCATGCTAATATATGTATTTTTTGCTCTTTTTTTCTCGAAAGTTCATTAGTAATTGGTGTATTCACTGCAAACTAAGGTTGGATCGCATCGACTGGCGCCATTTTTCTTATTATGTCTCAGAAGCTAGACCGAGAATCTGAATCTTGTAAAGTTCTTACACTAGATCTTAAATCCGACGAATCCTAGGCCAGAGGTTCAAATACCCAGGACTAGAATATTTGTGCGGTTTTCAATTTCTTGATGAATCTGCTGCTAGTCTGAACCTTTATGTAAAGATCAGATCACTTTTGTGCATTTTGTTCTCAAATCTCTTTGGACTATTGTGGCTACTCATTTGTTCTATCAATGAATTTTGAAGTTAAGAAGATTATATAAGATCCTTGAACAATATGGATATGTTTCTCTACTAGATGGCTGCTCTTGAGTGTTATAATATTACATCTCTTTGACGTGTGGCCACTTTGGCTATTGTGAAAGCAGCTTTTAAATTTCCAGTTAGTTTCTAACTCTGTGCTGTGATTTTTCTGCCCCATGATTTCTTCTAGAAAAAAATCAACTGGTCAAGCAAAAGATCAGCTCCGCTAGCAGGCGTGGGGATAGAAGAAATAGTAAAGCTAATTGCAAGAGTAGAGCTGATTTATTCTCCCTGAAGAATGGAATGGTTGGGTTTAATCCAGCTGGTGGAGGAAATAACTTTATTGGTATGTTATTTATTTTTTTTACCTTCACTTAATATGCATTTGGGATTTCTCTAACTATTCTTTTTATAGTGTTGCTTATGCTTAAATTATCTTCTGTCCATAAAATAGGCCCATCATGAAGCCTTATCATATTATTATAATATTTTTTTACTTTCAAAGAGATAACAATAGGAAATGATGTCTGAAATGGAAATCCAAGCCTTATCATATTATTATAGTATTTCTTTACTTGCAAAGAGATAAAACATTAATAACCAATAACAGTAGGAAATGATGTCTGAAATGGAAATCCCTAGCCGTCCACCAAATAGAGGGGGAAGAAAAATTGAGAAAAAGAACAGAGCAACCATCAATTGAAATTCTTCCTGGTATACCTTTCGCGATAGTCAATTTCCATATTCACTCCTGACATTCTTGACAAACAAGTCTTTGTTCATACCTGCAACTCTTTAAGGTGCATGATGTAAATTCTTAGTGTTCTCTGCACCTTAAATTCCTCAAACTACACCCTTATACATTTGTCATAGTATCAGAGCATTGATCTGACTATGAACAATTTGTTCAATTCAGGACTAGGCGGTTTAAAATCTGATGTCTTTGACATAACAAAGTATGTTGACGAGCCGTCTTTGGATAAGCTGCTACGTGGAAGCTATAGTTGTCCCCTCATCAATGACAAAGAAAAAACTGCCTCAAATTCAAAAAGTAACCTTTTGGAAACAGTTCGAAATGCATGCTCCATTCTTCGAGCTCGAAAGGTCTCGCAGGAACAAAATTCTGCCGAGGTTGATGACAATCTTGTCCAGAAGGATTCAGCCAGCTTGGATGCTGTTATTTCTGCAGTAGGCCAAACTGATGGCGGCAAAGGAGTCAATTCCGCCGTAGAAAAGGTTTGTCTGGATTTTCTCACATAACAGCATATATATATGTAAGTAATGGATAAAATTTTTTTATGTGCGCCATGGATTCATCTGTTCTAATGTTGAATGGGTAACTTTGGTTTGCTAATTGTCTATCATATAGTTCTCATCTGTTCTAATGTTGAATGGGTAACTTTGGTTTGCTAATTGTCTATCATATAGTTCCTCTCATCCGTTAATCATATTTGTTAGATATTGTAATGCAAACTTTAGCTGTACAGAGGAGAATCCTGTTAACATTATTTTTCGTGAGATTTTGTGTTACATGTTTTAGATTCTAATAATTTTGGAAGGACGAGACAAGTATGACTGGAAAACTACCTTAAAAGAAAGATATTTACCAGAAAAAGGTAAATCTCTAAACATAACTTAAGATAATCAAAGAAAAGTGAAAAGAATCTGAAGCTGAAGCAGAATCCCATGGAAGAGCTAAGAATCCTAAAATGACCCTAAAAAAAAATCGAAAGCTGTAAAACAGTATCCTAAAAACTGAGAAGGAATCCAAAAACCAAATTGGTTTCATATGATGGAAATGCATTCTGTTCACATTATTTTGCCATTTTGAAACTGGGGCAAAACTTATTGATAAATGTCGTGCTTGTGAAAAGCATTCTGTGATCTGTTTGATTCGGAAATCTTCATTTTGAGTTGATTGCACTTCCATTTTCAAGGTTCAGGAACCTGATGACAAGACCAAAACCTCAGACACTGTTGATACCCCACTATATAAACCCAGAGATATCTTGGCACGCCTGGCACTCCCAACGCCCATGGATTTGGACATGTTGCTCTCTGATGCAAGCAAAACCATTTCAACATCCAAAAATAATAATGATGCTCGTCTGGGCAAACCAGTTTCCCACCAAACGGGCCTGCCGCCTTTTCCTTGGTCCCATGCTTTTTCGGGACATAATAATAAGTTGAGTTCTGATGCTGTTAAGTTGTCCGCAAGCCGCATGATATGCCAAGGTCGATGGGTAAGAGTTAAAAATTGCACGGCTCTGCAGAAAGGTTGTGGGGATTTACTGAAGAACTTTGAGTCACTGACATTTGACCAAACTTTGGTTCCTACAGTATCTGAACGCCCAGAAAATGAAGCTGCTCCTATTGATGGGGTGTTTTCTGCTTCTGGTGCTTCCTCTCATCCAAAGACTCCTACAGGTTAGAAATCTCAAATAGGGCATTGTTACGTGAGTTTCTTACTTCAATCATTTTCTGTTGCGGTTATTTTCTGTTTGCATTTAGGAGGTGATTGGTAGACGATCAAAGCTGGTTTTGAGCGATCAGAATAGATTATGACTTACTCAGTTTAACTCAAATTTAACTCAATCCCACTATTCTGAATCCTCAATATTATCAATATAATTAAATAATATCAATCATTTCTCTCTTACATCACATCAACTTTAATTCACTATTCATCTACTCACATATTTTTAACTACCTATCACTTCCACTCTTTCATACTTTTACATCACATCAACTTTAATCATTACATTTTAAATATTATTTAATTACAATCTCTCTTATCCCACTCAATCAACTTTATTCAAAATAACTCACTTTAACTCAAGATCCAATTTTGATTGGTTTTTACTGGTTTTGACTCCCTACCAATCACCCCTTTATTCCCTTGTACTTGTTTTTTTTTTATTTTTTTTTTTTTTTTTTTAAGTTAGAATTATTACACTTTTATGTGTTTATAATATTTGTCTTCATGTGATGTCTTTTTGGTGACACCAGACGAGTATTCTACTGATGACGCTGCTCAAACACTCCTAGACATGGCTGATTACTCGAAGAAAAACCCCTTTGCAGCCGTTAACCTGCTGAGGAAACCTTCTCAGATGGCCATGAAGGCCAGCAAGTCCAAATCAACCGAGAAGCCCGAAAATTCTTTCCAATCACTAAAACCGACAATAAGACCACACAACCCCTTAAAAGCCCACTTTGATGGATTTTCTTCAAAGAAGCCCAAGTTATCCACTGACTTAACTAACAGACCCTACATCACTCATGCCGAGTCCTCGAGGCTCGTGTCAGTCAAATCGCCGCCTGGGAAGCTCCTTAGGGACATGATTGCAAATACGGATAGTTGTGGTACTAATCTTGCAAAGAAATCACACATGTTGAAAACACCAAGGGGCGCGGACAGGCAATCTGGTGGCAGTAAGCCTAAATTGTGGAAGTCACCCTATTGAGGTAAAAAAAAAATTAAAATAAAATAAAGAAGGATTGGAATCATTTGTTACAAACATGTATTCAAGGCACCGTTTTCTTTGCTCGTTAGCTTGTTTAGTTGATTGATTGTGTTGGTGCCGAGATTGTGTATGAGAAAAATTGTTTAGGTTCTGTATATATTTATTACGTCACATGTAAAAGCGATGTTCGTGTAATACTTTGCGTTGGGCTCAGGTTCGATGCTGTATCAATAGTTTGTGCTGGTTCGGGAGGCCGGTGTTGAATGTGCATCTGGATCTTCTTCTTCTTCTTCTTCTTCTTCTTTTTTTTTT